TGATAATTTTCTCACCTTCATTCTGCCCTTTGGAAATCTTAATAGTCTGAATTTGTCCACCTTACATTAATCCTCTTTCTTTCTTTCTTTTTAATATTTATCATCTTGCTTCCTTTCTGCTTTATATTCTGGATTATTGACTTCATCTTTCAAAACTTCTATTGAACTTTTTATTTGACAATCATTTTTAATACTGAAAAGCTCTTTCTTATTCTCCGAGTGTAACTTTTGACTGGCCAAACCATTTTTACCTCTCTCCTCTTACCCATTTTGGTAGCTCTCCAATTTGTTAATACCCCCTTTCCATATTTCTGAGTTTTTTTTTTCTTTTGGCCTCTAGATTGTAAAGACATGACTAGCTTCTGCCAAGACTTGAAAGGCAGAAGAGAAGCTTTTGAGACCACCCAGCCCAACTAGCAATCACAGTTAAAAAGTCCTTTGGTTTTTCTGTAGCAATAATAGTGGAAGTACTGATATCTAATCCTTAGCTTCTGGAGTGACTGCGAGGGATTTCCAAAGGAAAAATCTCATGGAGTGAACAGTTTTCCTGAGTGCCTCACTTTAGAGTGGGATCATACCTTGATTCTGTGGTCTTTCTAAATATTCTGTAAGCTAACTTATATGCTATAATAAATTTCTTTATACTTAGAATCAGCCAGAGTGATTCTATTGTCCAATCCAATACTGGCAGATAACAAGGAGTAAACTGTTCCATGTTCATACCTTCACTTATCCCCCTTTTCACCAGTCAGTACTTTCCATCCATATATATCCTGGTAGTTTGTTGAAATTTGCCAGTTCATTTTCTATTACTGTGTAAAAAGTGACCACAAACTTAGTGGCTTAAAACACCACCCATTTATCAGTTTATAGGTCTATAGGTCAGAAGTTGAGGCAGGCCTGACTAGGTTCTCTGCTCAGGATATTACAAGGCCAAAATCAAGGTATCAGCTAGGCTGTAGTCTTATCTAGAAGCTCTGGGGAAGAATCTTATTTCAACCTCATTAAGCTTGCTGGCAAAACCCAGTTCTTTGTTGCTATAAGTCTAAGGTCACCATTTCCTTTCTGGCTGTTAGTCAGAGGTTGCTGTCTTCTTCCAGAGCCCCCACCACCACCACCATCACCACTGCTTTATCACATGGCCCCCTCCATCTTCAAGGCCAACAAGAGAATCACGTTTTAATCCTGGCCTCTCCTTCTGCCACCAAAGAAAACTCTGCTTTTAAAGGATTTGTGAGATTAGATTAGGATGACCCAAATTATCTCCTTTTTATTAACCCAGCCAACTGATTAGTAACCTTAATTACATGTGCAAAATCTCTTTTGCCATATAACGTGACATATTCACAAGAGAGGGAATTGTGCAAGGGCAAAGGTCATTGGGGTCATTCTTAAAACTCTGCCTATCTCAGTCCTCTCTAGTTCACTTTAATATCAGAGGTTGAAACCTTTTTTATTTTTTTTATTATTTTCATAAGCTCTTCAGATTGAAAAGGATCTGACATTAACTACTCAGTTTTTCATCTTAAACAATAGTATCAATCACACTCATAGTTGGTTGCAAATTTATATTAGACTTGGATGTGCAAAATATTGATGTTCTCTCTATAAATGATCCAATCACTTGCTAGCCACTACTCCCCTAATTGGGGGGGGTGGAAGCAAAACTTCATAAACTCATTTAGTCTAATTTAATAAAGTCTTTTTAGATAAATGGTATATATTGCCAAAGAAAAATTGCACTGGCAGAGTAAACAGGCAAAGAAGTCTATTCAAGACATTACAGCAGGGGAAAGAGATTGAGCTCAACTATACTGGAACAAAAGGTGGGAGTTTTGAATCCTTTGGTGAGCTAGTTGGAAAGTACTGGAGGACCTTAAGGATAAGATTGGTCACTGCGATTAGACCATTTATGTTTGCTCTTTGGTGATTATCAAAGTTAGGCTCCACGCTGCCACAAAAACTTGGAGATAGGAGCAATATCTTTCTTGATTCTATTTCAAAGGGATGGCTAGCAGGTTCTTGAGAAAGATATTACTAGATTGTAAAACTGGCAAGATTCTGTGAGAAAATCTGCATCTCAAAGGGGCAGTGAAAGAATTTACAATTGAAAGTTTTCTAAAGGAAATGCTCTAAGAAAAGGGAGGTCAGGGACTTAAAGTCCAGAAGAAATCTGTCTGAAGTTTAGTCAAGGCGAGAGGAATGTTAAGGCTACTATGGTCACTATTAAGGATAAAATGTTTAGCATTTCAGTTTTCTACCCATCACCTATTTCTCTCCGCAAATGTATGTGAGTGTTTGAGGAAAGTGAAGTTTATGTAACCTTGTGTCTGATGACGAAAGATGGAGACCTTGAATCCATACAATGTCCCCTGGATTCTTGCTGGTCACTTCTGCAGTGTGGCCACTGTTGATCACCTGTTGGTAATCACTGAGTTGTGCTGGACCTATTGGATTTTTTTTTTAATGGAAGGTATCATGTTGGTTCCTCCTACTAGAGTCCTTGGTTCTATTTCCTTCCAGTCTTGAAGTCATTGAGTTCTGCACCCTCTTTGTATCCACTAGTATTCTGCCCTTCTTTTGTGACCATTCTCTAGGGGTAAACACAAATTTCTATATTCATTATATATCTTTACCCCTTGAGAACCAGGGCATTACCTCCAGTTCATTTACCTGTCTTCCACTGGCACCTCTGCATATTGCTTATCGTGTTTTAGGGCACTAAACTAGAAACTCAAGTTTCCTACTAGCCTGTACCTTCCTAACACTATTTCAGAAGTAAGCATACTACTACTACTACTACTACTATACACACACACACACACACACACACACACTAGATGTTCTCAGTCTTCCCAAACCCAGCTCATTGTTTCAATCCATCCCTCCACCTACTCCCACTCTTACCCCAACACACACATACCCACCCATGTTGAGACTGGCAGCTGACTTTTTCCACTGACTTCTGTTATTCTTCTTCCCAACCCCTCAGGGCATTCTCTTTCATACAATTCCCAGGTCTAATACTCTAAGCCCAGTTTTTTATATCTTAATCTGTAGCTATAATAATTTTTAATTCATCTTTTATAACCAAATTGTATTGCTAAAGGGCCTAAAACTTAGTTCATGTAATTCAAAGTTTATCAATGACTTTCTAGCACTAACCACTTCCCTCTTTCCTAGGGCATTATGCTCCAAAATGGAACTTGGAGGGGAACAATTCCCTTAAATATTTGCAAAATATTACCCCTGTCACACACTCTTAAGAGATGAAGCAAACATATGGGATAGCCACCTGGCTATAAAAATGTTTTTAAAGTCTTAACAGAGATACAAAAACAAATGTCTTACAGCTAAAGTTCTGTCTAGCAACCTGTGCTTTCTCTTTTTAATTTCCATAAAAGTATGAATACTGTTACTTTTATCATTCCCCAAAATAGAATTTATGAACCTATATTCAGTTGATATAATGACAATTGTGTCTTAAAGATGCGATCTTTTGAGAATGCTGTTTATCAGTTACGTGTGTAGCAAGTATTTTACCTACTTATAATAAGTAAAACAATTTACTTATTTATTTACAAAAATAATTTGAACAATTATTTGCTATTGTTTGTTTCTTAAAGTTCCCTTCAAGGTAATTCTTAAATAACTATATACATAATATATGTAATATATATGGAGATATATTATGTATGTATGTGTGTATATGGAGAGAGAGGGGAATGGTGGTTGAATAAAGTGCCTTCACTCTGAAACCTTACTCACCTTATCATTTAGAAAGTGTAGATTGTCATTTATTTGGAGTTTTTTAATTATAAGTATTAATAAATAAACTAAGTTAATTCAATTTATAAGTTTTTTTTGTTTCAATATGAAGTTTTTTCTTAATGCATAAAGTTTAACATCTAGCACCATTAAATTGATGGTAAAGTGGCAGTATGGTAGTACGTACATTAGTTGTTATTAGTAAAAAAAGGAGAGTAGAGATAATATTTAGTTAAGTTAAAACCTTAGACCTAGGATTAGATGCTGTTTATCCAGATGTCTCACATGTGAAAGCTGCCATTTCCATCATCTTCTTTCATACTGGGGCCTTTGGCCATTTTCTCCTTCCTGCTCTTGACATAATCTAGTTGTGAGTTCCTCCCACGATAAAATGGGACAAATATCCCCCATCTTTATGTTTGCGCCACCAACTGGCTATTTCCTGATTTCAATTTCTTTAAGAGATATTCCAGTAATATGGCTTCTTTACTTGACTCATACTGTATTACAGCTCTCCCCCTAGAACGTAGTAACAAAGCTCATAGACAATTTGAACTATTGAGTCAACATTGCATAGCTTATTCCTTAAATTGGGATTTGTAAATTTAGAGGGCATAGAGGCAGTGGATTCCGCACCCCACCCCAAACACCCGTCCCTACACAAACATGCAACTTAAAGATGCTCCCCTCGTTTAAAGACCATCCCCCCACCAACACACACATCCCTACTTAAGAGTCTAACTTCCCAGGTTAAAATGCTGTCTTCCACATCATTGATCTTCCCCCAGCGCTTCATTCCGATTATGCACCTAGTACGCAATCGGAAAATGTTTGTGGAACACTGTTGAATGTCAACAGTCACTCTGGGCTTTTGGATAAAAATGATGAATCATCACAGGATAATTTCAGCATCCAGAGCCCAAACTGTAACGGGGTTGCGCGACTATCCTAACACAGAATTCACAAGCCCCCGCCTGCGAGGAACCAGCAGAAGGAACGCGAGAGATCTGACAGCGATGACTTTGGCCACCAGCTTTTAAATCAGCCAGTTGAGTATTAGAAACACTCTACAGTCAGGACTGTCGCTTCAGGAAGGAGTGAAGGCGGGGGTGAGCTGCGGAAACAAACCTCCGCGCAAGGCACTCTGGGACACTGAGACTCAACCGCCGTCTCCAAGGCAACCAGCGGGCACGCGGTTGTCATGGAGACCGGCGGGAGACTCTGAAAGCCTTGCGGAGGGGCTGCCTTCGCCCCTATCCAGACAAGATGCTTCGCGGAGGCTGTAAGGCCTCTGAAAGGCGAAGACACTTTAGCGACCGCCTCAACTGGCAACAAGACCAGGCGCTGAGCAGCAGCATCTACCTCCTACGAGAGATGGGCCCCACCTCCTTTCTACTGAGAGAGGAAGAGCCGGAAAACAGGGATTTCCGAGTAACTACCGCCCCCAACCCGCCTCGGCTCCGTGCCAGGCCGACCCGCGCGGTACCCCCAGGCCCACCTTGTATGTAGCCCCTTGCTGCCGAACCCCACCCGCGAGTGTTCCAGACTCTAAAGATGTGCACATTGCAGATTGAAATAGTATTTGTTAGAAAAGTTCCATTATTGGAGGTTAGGACTCCAAATTGCATCCAACTCTCCTAAGATTATGGCCTTTGATCTCTGGACTTAAAAACGGGAGACATTTTATCTGAATATATGGTTTGCATTTACGTGCGTTCTCAGATCCGTTAGCAGTCACTAACCCTGTTACTCAAACGAAATGAAAATCGTACAATCTGTTTACAAGCCGTATATATTTGCTAAATAAATAAAATCGGGTTTTCTTTACTTTTTAGTCAGTCTGAAGCTATAACAAGACCCTTTTAAAGTATGGCTTAGATGGTGATTCCTTGGAAATGTTTTAATGAATAAAAATTCTCTTTAATTTTGCTTAAAGACCACAGATATTTCATATTCGCATATCTTGCTCTCACCACTCAAAAGTCAGCCACCACTCTGCCTCCCTGGAGTTGACTTGAAAATTTTTAATTTAGTGTCATGCTGCTTATGTCAGATGTCCTTTTTTCACTTTATAACCCTTAGGGCATTTAATAAATAATTTAAGCCAGTATAGACTTGGTGAATAAAATGTTTTCTTGAATAAAATTAAATAAACTCACCAACTGAAACGCACAAAACAAAAACCCCAGAAGAACTACTTTACAAAAGGTCTTTAGCTCCACTGCAAAGTAGAATTTCCTTTCAGTTAAAAATTTATAGATTTTTTTCAAGTTTTTAAAATTAGATTTCTTTTCACTTGCCTAAATGTAGGTCTCTTAAAAACAGTCTTAGCTGACAATGCAATTTGTTGAACAAGGCAAAGAAAAGGAAGTGAAAAATTAGACTTGTATCAAGAATTAAGATGTTCCAGTAGACTTATGTTCAACCTTTTGGAGTCACCTAAACTAAAATATCTCTTGAAATCTCTTTTAATCCAATTATCTATTAATTTTACTCTATAACTCTAAAAACTGACTGGAACTTTTTTTTAAGTATGCATTTTTCCATTTTTCTTTTGAAGGTTTCTCTAGGAAATCCTCATGTTTGTAATTGTTCCATATTTCTGAAAGGAGGGGAACTTTGTAAACATATATGCTGGTAAGTGACATTGTAATGAAGATCTTCCACAAAGGAACATCTTGGTATATTACATGTTTTGCCTTTTTCATGGCCTGAGTACTGCAAGATTAAAGAAATTTGGTGTCGGGAGAACTTAAAGGTAAAATGGTTGTAGCTTGTCAATATCGTTTTGGATATTTTATTTCATCCCCCAAATTAAGTGACGTTTCAAAATTAAAGTGAGGTAAGCATACTACCACCTCTACATGTTTGGAATGTTATTGTTTTTAATAAGAAAAAAATCAATGTTTAGATTTTCATTATGTACAAAGGTGAAATGTAACAATAAAACAAAAAATCTCCCCTGTTCACATCACTGATGATAATTGCATGGTTCATTATGATATTTTTAAATGTTACTATTTTCCTTTTCAATAAGCATTTGACTATGAATCTTTTAAGATTAAAATAGGACTCTGCTGAAGATTACTTCTGTCAAATCTAAAATTTTTCCTCTAGAGTCAGAACCTGTTTGTAGGTGATCCCAGAAATGAAAAACAAAAAAATTCCTTCCATGTAATTTAAACCCACATCAACTCATTTGTTTACCTACTATACTTATACCAACAAATCACTAATTATATTATTATAGAAAGTTTGTAATTGATATTTTAAGAGAAAAAAATCAAACAAGAAATTAAGAAAAGTGTGTATCATATTTCTAATGCTTTTCTTTATAGGTTAGAAAACAGTATATATACATATAGCTGTTATTTTTAATGCTTTTATTTACCAAGTTTTTTTGTTGTTTTGATCAGTTTTTATTGAGCATCTACTAACACAAGTTATTTGCTCTAGTTAGCATAAAAATATAAAATATGGTCCCTTCAAAATTTGCAATTTGGTTTTATTATTATACATAAAATAGGTTTCTCCATTTTTATTTTATGCCAGCTTCCTCAGAGCAAGGGCATTCTGTTCTGATTTTTATGTAATGTAACTTATTTTTTACAGTATATTTACCATAAACTTAATGGAAATATAATCCAAGTATTTAACATACTAAAGTATATTTAATATATTTAAGTAAGAATTTAATATATATTTCCCAGTTTTTTAAAAAAAGTCATGTTCCATTTTAATTGATGATATTTGAAAGTATTTTTCTGTCATACGTTAAAGTGGTATGTATAGGAAAACAGTCATTTGTTACTCTATCCAGAAAATTCCTCCATTTCCAGGAGTAAGAAACTTCCAAGGAAGTTTAAAAAGAGTGCTGTGAATACTTAGATTCCCTCACTAACCTCTCTTTGTGAGCTACTCTATGTCATAAAGAAATACATGGACTCTCTCTGATAAATCTCTTTACTGCAAATGTCTTTTGTTTCCATGTATCATACTTTTTTCACATATGCTTATTTTAAAACAAAAATTTAACGACTCTTGTAACAGAAAACTGATGAGAATTTTAATTTTATCCCTAACACTTTCAGCAATATAAATTCTGTAATGCCATTCCTATTCTAAAATTAATAATACCTTTTGAGGTTATGTCAGAAATAAATGTTTTATTTTGTTTTTCTACTTCTGAATATTAGGGTCTTGTTGAAAAAATTCAGGCTTCCAAGGAATCATGAATGTAAGTTGTGTTTGTGTGTTTTTACTAATTTAAAGTTAACAAATTCAATAATTGTTTATTTAGACATATTCTAAATTTAGACAGTTACTGTCCAGACAATCTGAAAACTGTAACAGTTTGTTACATTTAAGACAGTTGGAACATTTTTCTTCCTGTTTAACAAAAAATGTAACTTTATATGCCATTTCACATTAAAAAGCACTTAATAAAAAATGAGGTGAAATAATGGCCGGGTTTTCAGTAGAAAAACTTTCCCTCGTGAATTCTAAGCAAGGATTTACAGTAGTTTCTGTATCTAAATTTATTTTAATTATGAGAAAAATGACAAATGTAATTTTTCAGGGCCCAGAAATAGTTGACATGATACATAATTCCATTTAAAAATGTTTACTGACAAGTTTTTATGCAAAAAATATATGATTTTACAGTTAAATAGTTTTTATGTCAGTACCTACATTGAGTTTAAAGTCAGGCATATGACATTTTTTATAATGTTCAATATGAAATTTAATTTAAAATTAAATTCTAGAGTCCTCAAAAATAAAAGAGAAAGAAAAATAATTCTATCACAGGTTATTTAGATTTATACATTTTATAATAAAAATGCTATCATTATGGAAGTGTTTCCTGCAAAGATTTATTTAACCTATACTAGATTCATCTAAGAACTGCAAAGGCATTTAACATTTATTAATAAATATTTATAATATTCAAAAAGAATTAAAGTGATAATCAGTTTTCAATTTTTTTTCAATTCAGGTTATTGGTTCTATTTAGGCAACTATTATATAAGTACAAGCACAGTTACATTTAAAAGTCCTACTGGATAATAAATTAATATTAATGTTTCACAGGGATTTTTCTTTTGTATTCTTCTCTCTACCCATTTTCTTAGAAACATCTCATATTTTCTGTCTCTACCTGTTACCTCTATAACAGTGATTTCCACATCTTATCAGCAGAGCAGTATTTCCAGCTGCCTTCTGAGCACCACAATTTTGGAGGTCCCACAGGCATTTGGAATAGTAAATTCCCCCCGATATGTGCTCTCCTGTTGTATTCCCTACCTCACATATTGGCTTTCCTTTTTCTTTAGTCTCCAAAGCTAGAAACCTTGGCATTCTTGTTTTTCCTTTCTCATCCTCTTCTCTCATAAACAAATCCTGTTTATGTTACATCCTACCTACTTCTCAACAGTGATTTTACTTCCCCATCCTCATTCTTACCTTTGTTCAGCCTTCATCAGCCCTTAGTACTGTTCTTTGTAGCCTCCCTGTTTCCAGCACCTGCACTTTGTTTCTTTCTCCTTCACATTGTAGACAAAAGGTTCTTTCTGAAATGTCACCTACTCTGTACTTCATCCTCTCTCCCAATCCCTTCATACACAATAATTAGGTTGGATGAGTTCATGGATATTGTTTTCTTCTCTACTTGTCCATTGTATACACCTGAAGTTAAATGCTCACATCCTCTTCAAAGTCTTAGTTATTATCTACACTATTTTCCATATCATTTTCACAAGCTTCTATACTAGGGCTACCCAACAGAAATATAATGTGAACCACATATGTAATTTTCTGGTAACATATTATAGAAAGTAAAAATAAACAGGAAAATTAGTTTTAATAACATTTTAATTTAACCCAATACATCAAAATATCATGTCAGCATGTAATCAATATAAAAATTATGATATTTTAATGTTTTTTCATACTGCCTTCAAAATCTAGTGTGTATTTTCCATTTACAATGCATCTCACCTCAGACACTATATTTTCATTGGAAATGCTTGATCTGCATTTAGACATCGTAAAATATTCAGTTGGAAAATAAATTCATATAATACCCAAATTGTTATAAACATAAATTTTCCAGAAACTATAGATTATCAGTTTTCCATTTAAATTAAATAAGACAAAATTTAAAATTCAATTTTCAGTCACACTATCCACATTTCAGGTGCTCAGTAGCCACATATGGCTAATGGCTACCATATTGAACAGTGCAGCTCTACCCAATTACATTCAACAAATATTTATTGTACTGCATATTGGTCAGGAACTCTACTAGGTGATTTTTTTTATAAATTGAATCATATGAATTGCCAATATTTTTTCATCTACAAAAATAGCAATTTCATATGGATTAATCTAATACTTTATATCATATTATCCTTTTTGCTCTTGAAGGCAGAAACCACATCTTATTCTTATTATAAATATCCCTATTTTATTAGGAAATTTAGTAGGAAATTTTTTAAATGTTTAAATTTGATCCTATATATTAATTTTGAAAAATTATATTTCCTACTAAAATAAAATATTTTTTATACCTCATATTTAAAAGATGTTTTAGCTACTTAACATTGAGAAAATCCTTTGTGTACAAATATTCAAAGAAAGTATAAGTCTCAATAATGTTGAAATTTATCATTTAAATAATGATAAAATAATAAAATTTGAAAATTAAAGTAATTCAAAGAAAGCTATAAACAATTATTCAATAATATTATGTAAAGTATGTACATAAGTGTGGAGAAGAAGGTAGTGAAGCAGAAGCATTTTGAACATCATTCATAGATTCTTTTCTAAAACAAATCTGGAAACAATTATTTGTGCCCTAGTGTTGCATACAAGAAACCTGAGACTCTCTTTTATTTTTGAAGACCTATAAAGATGATTACATATGAATTTTTAATAAAGATATCAGTTTTTGAACACTGAGTATTATTTTCCATCACCCAACAAATGCTTCCCAGTAAAACCTAGCTTTATTACCTAATGGTTTTTCCTAAATACAACGTCTAGTAAATGCCATCTTGTCCTTTTCTCAATTAAATATTTATGGATAAAATAAAAACTGCATTTTAGGAAAATTTTTTAAATCCCCACCACAAAGATATAATAAACTTTTTATTTTCTATTTTCTTTTTTGACCTTGTATTTATGTATACCTAATAGTCTGTGGGAATTCTGTGTTCTGCTTTTGTCTCACACTGTTACTTTATTTCAGTGCTATGTAGTCTCTCTCATTCAAGTCATCAGTGAATGTTAAATAAACTATGATATACCATGTTAGTGTATGATATATCATAATTTATTTAACATTCTTCCATTTGAGGCATTTAATTTACTTCTGACTACCTGTTATATTCTTTGTAAATGAAACTTTTTCTTCTCTCAATTATTTCTGTAGCCTGAAGTCTCATTAACTGGATCTTGCAGTAAAACTATTATTTTTTTACTGAGATATAATTGACATATAACATTATATTAGTTTTGGGTGTACAACATGATTCAATGTAAGTATATATTGCAAAATGATCAACACAATTAATCCAGTTAACATCCATTACCACACATAGTTACAATTTTTTTTTCTTGAGATGAGAATTTTTAAGATTTATTCTTTTAGCAACCTTCAAATATGCAGCAGAGTACTATTAACTATAGTCACCATGCTGTACGTTATGTCCCCATGACTTATTTATTTTATAAGTGGAAGTCTGTACCTTTTGACCACCTTCAGCCATTTCTCCTACCTCCTAGCCGTCCCCTGGCCCAACACCTGGCAACCATCAATCTGTTCTCTGTATCTGTGAGTTCGAGTTTTTTTTCCTTTTTTTAAGTATTAATATTTTTATGTCTCTCACCCATAGGTATTGCTTTATAGCTATACTTTTGCTGATTTATGATTTCAGCAGTATATCAATTTTCTGCTAGCTTTGCTTTTTGGATTCATGTTTTAGGCATATTTAACCATATTACTTAAGCATAAAATGGAAGACATTAACAGCATATTTAAGTCTCCAAAGAAAATAAAGATACATGGAAATATTTTGAAAAGCTAATAATATTTCTATAATATTAGAAAAAAAGACTAAGTCACACAAAGTGGGAAAAAATAACAGATACAAAGTTCATAGTAATCTATTCATTCCTAGTAAATTAAGTAAGAAAATAGTTTTCATTCTTCCATACATCTAACATAGCCTTAGAATCTAAAATGCCCTGAAATAACTTTTTCAAATAAAAAGAGAAAATAACATACGACAAACAAGATGTAACATTCTATTTATTTATTACCTTTTATTTAGATTTATTCTGTGTCTACACCTCATTTTGATTTTAACTCACTTTTCTTTTGATATTAATGAAATTGAACATCTGTTGACTTTAATATTTGTACTACATGTGTAAATTAAACTTTGGCTATTTATTTATTGGGATAAAACTACACACTCTTCCTAAATATAGGGATTACCCCTCTTTGCAAATGTTTTCCTAATGTCATAATTCTTTTTTATATGGTTTCATTAAATTTTGTTTTATATATATGTATATGGATTTTTGTGTGTTGCTAAATCTGACCATTTTTACTTTTCATGTATATTGTTTTGATACTTTGAAAGTTGTCTATCTTCCATAGTATTTTAGAGATTTTTTTTTCTGCTAGCTTTTCTATTTTATTTTTATTCTTCTTTATAGCATCCATGTGTAGTTGTATTGATATAAATTGGAGGTTGCTATTTGGTTTGAAGTAATTAAATTTTCTCCATATTTCTACCTAGTTATCTCAATAACAGCTATTAAATAGTGCTTCTTTACATCCTTGTTTCATAATTTTTATAGTGAGTTTTGTTTTTTTATAATACATTATGATATCTGATAAGGCTAGCTGTCTTGCTCTCCTTTATGAAAGAATATTCTTTTATACTTTCATATATTAATTTTTCCAAATTAATTTCAGAAGAGTTTGTTTCTCCCTTTTATTCTCCAATTCATGTTATACCACATAGAACAGTTTGTAGCCAACTCCTCTTACGAAATTTTATGTTTCAGTATTTCTGCTGCTCTAGAGAATCTTTATCCCCCAAAGCACAATCTTTTGTTCTTCATTTTCCTCCTCATTTTTTTAGGGAGCAGATGTTGCTATGTCTCTGTGACAAATAGCCCTCATCCTCCAAAGAAATGGTTAATTAAAGTATGATATCCTCCCACATTCCACCTACCATGCCACCTCAGACAAGGAACAGAGATTTCTGTATTGAAATGTAACTGTGATGTTTTCAGTATTGTTAATGTTTAATTGGTAATCTTTTTAGGGAAAATGGAGCTTTTCATTATCTTGCAAATGATTTTTTAATCTCTATGTATTAAAGAATATATAAAATGAATAGAACTCAAGGGGACCAATAACAACTGGCATTTAAATTATGTTAAGAAGAGGGAAAGAGGAGGGGCATGGGAATGGGCCAGAGAAAAAGGGAATCTAAGATGCCTTGATCAAAACTATATGCACTTAGGCCCGCATAACGCAAGAAAAAAAAAATAAATAAATAAATAAAAATAAAAAATAAAAATAAAACTATATGCACTTAGTACACCATTTCTTAGAAGGACAGCAGGATGGAGAAAATTCAGAATTCAAAGACTGTGTATCCCAAATGTATAGGCACTATAGTTCCTAACAGATTGTCCTGAGGAATACTGACCAAATCTATGAAGAATGTGGCTACCGAGACACTTGTAGAGACGTAAAACTAAGGAAAATAGACGCAACTGTGTCTTGCTCTCTCATTATCTATTTACTAATTTATTCATCTAACAAATGTTAATTACACTAACTACTCGAATCTCTCTTCTCCTTTCTGTATTTATGCCCATTTCTTTTAATACTCCTGTATGATGATAAATATTTGTTTATGAACAAGAGAACAGATCAAAATGTAAGAGATGATTATAGCACCAATCCAAGGAGGAACACTGTCATATAATTAATCTGAGACCTTTATAATGCACTGGTTACACTGACTCTTTTCAGTAACAGGAAAACAAGAGATAACTTCTTTTCTTTTTATAAATGACTCTTTTCTGACCTTTTGGCTCTGAAAGGAATACGATAAGTGGTAAATGTCAGTGTAATAATTCAACCAATCTTTCTGATATTTGGGGGGAAAAATGCTAACTTTCTGCCTAAGTTGTTTCTTTGTCTCCAATTTGCCACTGAATTTTAATACTTTGGAATTTATCGTTAGCTGCTTTGCAGTTAGGTCTTGTGGAAAGAGAAATCAGCAACTTGCTTCGAGGGATACATCAAGTTCAAACTCCCCAACAAGGAAGGAACAATGAAAATGCACAGATTGAAGAAGATGGTTACATTAAACAGAAGGAAATTAGTTCAGATGATATATGCTCTATTTGTCAAGAAGTACTTTTAGAGAAAAAGGTTCCTGTCACCTTTTGCAGGTGACATGATTTTTCTTTGGATTCTAGAAACTTATGAAATAATTCTAATTTAATATATTTGTAATATGTTATGAAACATGTTGATAGAAAAATAATACATATTTAAACAATTATACTTAATTGGCCTTCTTTTATTTCCTAACATGTTGTGAGAGGTCCTGTTATAACTCTGAATATTTCTTGGCTACATTTTAAAGGGTGAAAGTTAAAAAATAACTCCACTTTATTTACTTTTTCACTTTAAGTTATTAAAGTAGATAATTTTCATGTTTCTGTTTTATACACATGAATAAATGCCACGGCTTAGAGTAGTTACAAACAGTTTTTCTGAAAGTGAAGATTATTTTACTTTAAAATGATAAAAATTCTCTTCAGCTTTTCTAAATTTTATCTTTAAAACTAAATAATTCAAAATATCACTTATACATAAATGTTTATTGAGAGTATTGTACTTAACTATGCTTCAAGGCACTGTAAATTTGGACTTGGAAAATTTGGACAACCATTTGGTATTGAACTTTTCAATTCTTTTTTTTTCCTGATTATTTACCAAAATTTTCATCCACATTGTATTTTTTTCACATAGCTGCTTCTTTTGTATATTTTAAAATTACTATTTCCCAAAATATTATTTCTCTCAGCAGATATTTATTGGGTACAACCACATTCATATTGTGTGATTTCTAGAAAAATAAGGTGACACCCCTGCTCAGTGATGCTTTTTATTTAAAAATAATAATTATTGTTATAATTTTCCTTTTTGTTAAGACTATATTCATTCTCACTTTAAAAATAAAAATTTTATAATGATGCAAAATCTTTTACCACCATTTCATTGAAATGGGAAAGATTTTGTTTGGAATTCTGATGTACTAAATTAAATAATGATAGATTAGATAGATAAAATAGTGTTTATGTGTGTAATCAAGGTATATCTGGATAATCAGTTCAGAATCTATTTTTATAGGAAATAAAGATGGTAGCACAGAAAACATATATATATATAACTTTGCTGTATACAAATGGTAAACTTGGATTTTATTTCTAACAGGTTTGGCTGTGGCAATAGTGTTCATATAAAATGCATGAAGATCTTAGCTAATTATCAGGATAAGATATCACACACTTCCATGTTGAAATGTCCCTTGTGTAGGAAAGACTTTGCACCATTAAAACTTGTTTTAGAGGAATTCAAAAACTCTAGCAAACTTGTGGCTACAGCTGAGAAAGAGCGACTAGACAAACACCTTGGAATTCCCTGTAATAACTGTCGACAGTTTCCAGTTGAGGGGAAGTGTTATAAGTAAGTATCAATCGGTAATATTATAAATTTGTAGTCTAACTAGTTTTTTAATTTTAGGAAACTTTGAACATTAGAGTACTAGTCATTTAGCCTTCTTCTTTTCCTCCTTTATATAGTGGTTTGCCTTAAAGATGGCTACGTATTTAGGATTTTCAGACTAGTGATCTGTGTCAGCCCAGTACCTTAAGAATTTCAGTTGTTTTATTTTCTTTACTCACACAGAGTATTGGCTTTGCATTCCAGTCTACATTGAGAGTCTGAAGTATCATCCTTTCTTGGAAGCTCTGAACACAGGCTTTGTAGTTTGGCCTAAATGAGTTTCCAAGCTCAGAGCCCTGCTAGATAGACCTCTCACCCCCTGTAACTTTCTTTGAACCACCAATGAGGTCATTGCCAAAAACTCCTAGGACTGAGCCAGAGGGATATTGACTAGATCAACTGAACTCGACTTCCCCAACTCCAAACTGCAATGATGCATGTTTTGTTTTCTTTCACATCTTATACCTTAACAACATCAAGATACTTATTAGAGAAAGAAATTTTCATTACTTTTTGAGTATTCCTCAAACTTTCCCACAATTCCACAATAAAACATCAATTAATTGCTATGCTTGGGATATTGTGCTTTCTTAATTGAAATCTTAACTGTATGTTAAGAAGAAAATATTTTGCTTCAGTCTTTGTTAAAATTTTTTCTAAAATGCATCAGTTTATGGGCTTCCCTGGTGGCGCAGTGGTTGGGAGTCGGCCTGCCAATGCAGCAGACACGGGTTTGTGCCCCGGTCCGGGAGGATCCCACATGCCGCGGAGCGGCTGGGCCCATGAGCCATGGCCGCTGAGCCTGCGCGTCCGGAGCCTGTGCTCCGCAACGGGAGAGGCCACAACAGTGAGAGGCCCACGTACGAAAAAAAAAACAAAAAACAAAAAACGCATCTGTTTACTTTTCAGTCTTCCTGGAATTACATTATGATGAGTCTAATTAATATTTTTAAAACCCTCTCATAAAACCATAAAACTGTTTTTAATCACCCCCAATGGTGAATGATACCTTTCTCCTTTAAACTGTTTTAGTCCTTTGTTTTCTCAATGTGTCACATAGAAGTAAATCAACCAGAGCACCATTAGCAAAAGCCTTTAGTGAAAACAGCAAGCCTGAGAAAGCTCACTTGAGGAAGAAGGGCAGACTTTTTATAAGGTTTAGCGGGAGGTGTTCAGCTAGTTTCAGGAATGTTGGTTAAAGAGAATTCTAGAAAAAGGAAAGACTTGATATTTGGCATTAGCAGCCATTTTGGGGGCAATCTGAATTTTTTCAAGAGGGGTGGGTAAGAACAGTAAGGGGCTAAGGTCACGTGTGGAAAGGTGGGTTGGGAGGAGTAGGTGGGGGTGACAAGGACAGGTGAAAGCCACGGTGTAAAATTTTCAGTTTTTATAGTGATGTATTCCTCAAATTGTTAATGCGTGGGTGGCTTTGGTAAATTATCTCAAATCTTGTTTTTAAGTATTTTGTTAATGACAATGCTCTCCTCTGTCCCTCTGACTTTTCTGTCCACAAGGGTGATTCTCCCTACTACACCTCAATACAGGCATTCTCCACTGTTCTGCTTCCTGCCTGCTGCTCTGCACTCACCTTTCAGAATAACTTCTCTACGCATTTGGCTCACAATTATTCACATCCATATCTCCTTCCACTCCCTCAAATGCTAACATTTCAGCCGTTAGCCTGAAAAAACTATTTCTGGTAGTTTTAGTAATGGTTTGAGTAGGAGATAAGGTAAACTAGAAAGCTTTCCAGTTCCTCTTCATTAAAGTTTCATAATATAGCTACTTACCTTTTAAGAAGTTGATCCCAAAACTATCATATATATATATATTAAAATATAGAGATACTTAACTTTTTGTAGCCCAGCATAATTTGATATATTGAATAAACTGCACCATCGCTTTGATTGGTTGATGTTAATTATTAAGAATCTTCCCTGTATGTATAAACAATAATAATGAATAAATTAATACTTGCTGCTTCTAAGATGTCTGAAGGATATATTTCCCCAGATTTCTCTTGGAAATAGTCTTCTAATTCTTTGATAACTTGAGTAAGAAAATAACTTTATTTGCTTGAAATGTTATTTTTGGTGAATATTGCTGAAAGTAAATTAAAATTCTCTGCTTGTGGCAAAATTTTTATAAGTGATACATGTTTAGATTGAGCTTTGTGGAAAATGAAGTTTTTTAGTATATCAATGATTTTTATTGCAAACTTTTTATACATATACCTTTTTCTATTTTGTGAGGACAGAGAAGGAATATAGTACAATTCCTGTTCAAGAAGTATTCTGCTAAGTATAACTCTAGCATTCATGAAATAATAGGAAAACACTGGGTAATCAAATGATAGAATGTCCAATAGGCTGTACATCCTAAAGGAACTTAGAAAAAGAGATAAATGAAAGATAAAGCATTCCAGGAAGACATCATGGTAGGGATACGTGGTAGGCAAAATAATACCCTCCCAAATATATCCACATCCCCATGCCCAGAACCTGTATGTTAGGTTACATGTTGTAGGGGGATTAAGGTTGCAGATGAAATTCAGGTTGCTAATCACCTGACCTTGAAATAAGGAGGTTATCTTCGATTGCCTGGGCTCAGTGTATAATCACAAGAGTTCTTAAAAGTGGAAGAGGGCAGCAAAGAAGAGAGTCAAAGGGATATGTGAATATGGAAGAAAGGCACAGAGAGATGCTGCATTGCTTGCTTTGAAGATGGAGGAAAGTGCCACAAGCTAAGCTAAGGAAGGTGGGCAGCCTCTAGAAGAAAGGGCAGAGAAACAGATCTCTATAGCCTCCAAAATGAAATGCCATTCTGTGGACCCCTTGATTTTAAACCCCTTGAGACCCATGTCAGATTTCTGACCTACAAAACCATAAGATAATAAAGTGTTGTTTAAGCTGCTAAATTTGTTGTAATTTGTTTCAGTAGCAACAGGAAGCTAATATGGGGTGAGATTTAAGATGGGCCTTGTCATATCTGCATAGTTCCCAGGAAATCTTGGCCAGAATTTTTCACCAAAAACAATCAAAATAATTGTATTTTTTCTTGTATGTTTTGGTGTTTTGCATTTTTAGGTGTACCAAATGTATAGAATATCACTTATGCCAGGATTGTTTTGATAGCTGCTGCCATCTTTCTCACTCATTTACATTTCGTGAGGTACAGTATCCATCTTGAATTTCGTATAGTGTTTGTATTTTCCTATTGTAAATCTAAGTAAAATCTAAGAATAGGTAACCCTCTGGAATAGAGCTGACTGTGTTTGAATAAAAACCAAAGACCATAATCTTTGGAGAACTCTTTTTCATAAGGATTTATAGGCAATCAGTTCTTACATTGGTAATTTATAAAATCCAACACAATAACAAATATGTAATGATATCATACATAAATCTTAAGGACAGAAATTACAGCCATCAAGCTTTAAAATTCATTTTAAAAAAAGATCTCAACACTACAAAATGACTTATAATGCTACTGACAACCATTTACGGTTTTAAATTTTCTTACATCATGGAATTTTATTGCTATCATTTGAATCTAACAAGTAAATAAGTATCTCCTGATGTTGAATAATAATGCTACCTTCTCTTTACTACACAAGATAAAACATCCACAATTACCATTATTGATTAATAGATAATTTTTTTTACCTTAAAAAGTAATGTTATAGTAGCTGTGCAACAGTATATTAGACTCACTAATAATTTGCAAATTCTTTAATGTGTTAAAAAGCTATCTTTTAAAATGATGAGTCTTTATTTATTTACATTATTATGTTATTGATACACAGCCTACTGATTTAATGCACAAGATAAAAGCTTCCACAATTTACAAAGTAACATTCACCTTTTACCTATTACAGAAGAGAAATCAAAAATGGAGATCGTTGGAAAAAAGATCAGATGAAACTGTAAAATATATAGATATTAAAAATGAGATAGAAAAGATGCCACATTTTCAAGAAAAGCAAGGGTGAGATTCTCAGTGAAATTTATATTTCTTAGGATATTTAAATAATTTTTCAGTTCGGATAAGTTTTATTCATTTCTTTATTCAATAAATATGTATTGAGTACTTATTATAGATACTAGGTGACATAGTATTCAAGTGAAGAGCAAGGCTCTGGAGTCAGAATGCTTAAATCCAATCCTAGTACAACCATAAGTTGGCGATACAACTTTTGGGCTAGTTACTTCACTTCTCCTTGCCACATTTTTATCTTTAAAATAGGGATAATTATAAAACCAGTCTCATAGGAATTTTGTGCATATGAAATGAATTAATACACACAGTAAATATTCAAATAATGCTGTCTATTATTATTATTAATTCTACCAGAGATTGTACTAGGTATTAGGGCTATCTAGTTTCCTCAGCAATTAAGTGATCATCTAAATAAATGTAAAATTAAAACTGATATATGTTATTTAAAGAAAAAATACAGGGAGCTTTGAGATTTGCTTTGAAGTAAATGACCTCTATGGGAAGGAAGTCTTTCTTTCCTTATTGCCCTCTGTTCCACCCCCAGGGAAGGAGAGTGCTAAGGGGATTGGTTGTATTTCAAAACCCTGACTAGTGGACAGTCATCCAGACCTTTTGCCATACTTTGTATCAATTAAAGAAAATTAAACGTACCGTGTATAATTAACATATTAGGTACACTATAAAATATATACAAAGCTCATTTTAATAGGATGGGATAAAATTGAAATATTTTTTAAAGGACCATTTCAATGAATTAACCAAACAAAACTTGTGCTTGTTTATACATATATATGTGTGTATATATGTATTTCTATCCCACATATATATAGTAGATAGATAGATAGATAGATAGATAGACAGATAAGATAGATTTCTATCCAACCCAGTGGATATATAGCCCATGCCCTGTGGGTGCTCCACACACTTCAGAGACCACAACAACTCTTGTGGAGCATAAAATGCTTTGTGGATATGAAAGGAGCCTATACAAAGGCTCTCCATCTCCATTTCCCTTGGCCCTGGCTGGGTATCACACTTCAACCTATTAGAATGATAAATTGTATAACTAATGGTTTAGGAGATATTGTAGGGGGAGACAAGAGAATATTAGGGGTAGAAGGATATTCTAGGCAGAGAAAATGGAATAAATAAAAGGAAAGAGTTTCAAGATTAAAAAAAAAGTGATTAACAGCCTGAAATAATAGAAACACACAGATTTTATTAGTTGACAATTAAATGACCTTGGTAAAAGCAATTTTTGTAGCATAATGAAAGTTTATCTGAAGAGTAATGAGAAGTATAAAGTTTTCTAAAGAATATATTTGAACTTTATCCTGAACGACTTTTGAATAATAGGAATGCATCCAACCTTTTAACCAAGATTTTGTTTTTAAATATTTGTTTTATCTGTTTATCAGTTGCTAGTGGCATCAAATTTACATTGTCTAATCTTAGTTATGTTTGTTGGTAGTTTTGGTACAAAAATGGGGTTGGTATCTTTAGAGTTCATTAACATTGTCTAACAATACAGAAGTAATAAGCATATACCCCAAGTGAAATAAGTCTCCTCATAGATTATGACCTACCAGTTTATAATAGTAGCCTGGAATATTTAATATGGTTTACCACGCATCTTACTTCCTACCAGATGACAGAGTGAATTGGGTTGTATTTTTCTAAACACAAGCCTGTGTGTTGGCTCAGTCTGAAATAATTTTAGTATATGGTTCTCACCAAAATTATGTTCTGGTTTCATTGATGTTAAAAAGTGCAAATCAAAAAAATTCAGGTTAGTATTTTTATTTGAAATGACTAAATTACATTTTGCTCCTTATGAAGTTGATGTTGAATTTGGATCCATCTTGTTCAAGATCAATACAATAGATTTTGTAACTTTATAATGTACGGGATTTATTATCTTCAGTTCTAGAAAGCACTGGGTTCATTCGCATTATTTATTTGGAGGTTATTACCTGTACTATTGATTACTTCCTTATCTACAATCACATATAACCATTCATGTCTCTCTGTTTATTCTCATTTAGCCAAGTTTACACACCAAAACATGTGGTAAGGTCACTGCCTCTCTTACTGATCACAAAGAATAGTAAGCTGCTTGCTCCAGGCTACCAGTGTCGACTTTGTTTGAAGGCATTTTGTCCTGGTCAGCATACAAGATTGCTACCATGTACTCACAAGGTAGAAGTCACATCATTTTAGTTTGACTTTCCCTGTAGGGCCAGTTTTCACAAATGAAGTGGAAATTTAAGTCTCTCCTTTAACTTTTTAGCTGAATTATGAGCATAGATGTTCAAATTGAACACAGTATGTGCAGAAAGCTAGAGCGGAGACTATTGAGACGGCAGCTCTGCCCTGCCAAGGATGGATTCCTATTAATTAGGATTTATTTCTGTATAAACTATTGAGGAAAGATAAAATGGCACTTTAAGTTAGATTCTTTTATCTACTTTAGTTACCTGTAAAAGGAAAAGGCTTATAGAATACTAACTTTTTAATGTTATTTTTATGATTCTTTAGATGAAACAGAAATGCTTAATTTGACATAGTTTATTATTATTTCAAATGAACTTACTGGAATCAAAGTCTAAAGTTGCTGAATCACTATGTAGTGGTAACCAGGTTTTTTCTGAGATACAGTTGTTTTAATAAATGAACTTTTATAGCTTTAGAGTCACCCTTACTTATAATGACTGATAATTTGTTTTCTTCCCTAGAAGGTGATTTGTCACGTTATGTCTTACCATCATCATATCAATTTTCATCTCTAGTTGGCTATGACATTTTTATTACTTAATAATTTTCATTCATAAGAAAGCAACAGTGAAATTAATGGCTTGAATAAGTAGTGAGTTTTTAATGAAATTGCAAAAATCGCATCCATAGAAGGCTTTTCATTTTAATGTGGAAAATGAAGATCAGTCTCTAACCAATTACATTTTTAAGAGAACTTCAAAATATTTCCATAAAACTTGATGAATTTTATTACCTTCCAATATTATGAAACAGTGTTAAAAGTAACACAATAATGAAAGTGGGGAAATTTTACATGGATAGTATACATTATAAACAAGATAATATATCTCTGATTAACTTCTAACTTTTTTTTAAGTTTCATAGGAAATGTATTGACAGTTGGTTACTCCACAAGTGCAATTCATGCCCTATTGATGGACAAGTTATATATAACCCTTTAATCTGGAAAGATAGAGCAGTGAATGGACATGCACATCAATCTGTTTCAAACACAAACATCATTAATCTGTCAAAACAGGAAGAACCAGAACTTTTTATTCCTGGTACTGGATTAGTATTAAAACAAAATAGACTTGGAATTTTACCTATCATACCTCAGCGTAATTCTGAAAAGTTGAATGCACCTCAAAGTCCAATAGATACTTATCAGAATATAACAATAGATGATCTGTATTCTGTCAAAGTAGATGATTCAAATTCAAGAAAATCAATCTATGAATATAAAATTAGCCAACGTTTCCCCAGCTATCTCCAAGATTTACCCACTGGATCCTTTGGAAAAATATCATCTCAAACGTTTTTTCCTTCTATTGATCACAAGAATATTATATATCCAACTGGAGTGGAAAACCCATGTATCAGTAAAAACCACCATGCCGGTCAAAGCCAGAAGATAAACAAAGACTGTAAACGTGTTAACCACAATTCAAAAAAGACTCTTGGTAATAAAATAAGAGAGGACAACACGAGACCAAATACTTTGCTTCCAGAAGATTTAAATCTTATTGTCAATTGGGGTACAACTAAGCTTAGTTTGTCTAAGAGGTATAATAATTGTATGGGGAAAATTAGACCAAAATGTAGTCATTTATCCAGAAGGCCTATATCTCACCCTTTAAGTACAAAAAGTACTGAACTATCTTTAATATTGGAAGGAGTTCAGTTATAAAAATGTATTGTATTAAAATCAGAAAATATTTGAATATTGAACATAACTTTTTTTTTTTGTAGAACATAAAAACACTATACACTCTTGACAAATATTCTCTGTTGTTATTTTGCCTACTTGTCTATGAATAATGAACTACAGCTAAAGGAAATGGCCTCATTCCTTATAAGACTTAAAGAATTAGGTATCTTAATGAGTATGTTCAGTATGTTATGAATTATAAATAATTTTTAGAACTTTCACATATGACTTTACACTAATTAAAATAATTGTTTTTAATTAAGGAAATAGATTTTCCATACCCTGAGTCATTATTTTCAAACATTTCACTTAATGACATGTAACATACAGGGATTCTCTCCAGGTATTTTTACACTTTCTTGCACTAATAATCACCACAAACCTATAGGAAAATCCAGATGGTGGTTTTCTTTTTTACTTTATTCCTTAAAGGAGGTTTCTTGTATAGGAAATGAAATAAAATATCCTTACAATGCTATAAGCTATGCCACATTTATAGTGGTTTTACTGGGGGGTTTTTTCATCAAGAAATATATAAGTACTACCAAATTCCCCCTCTTTTATTGAAGTATAGTTGATTTATAATATTGTGTTAGTTTCAGGTGTACAGCATAGTGATTCAGTATTTTTGCAGATTATATTCCAGAGTAGGTTGTTATAAGATAATGAGTATAATTCCCTGTGCTATTCCATTATAGATTATTACAAGATAATGGGTATAATTCCCAAGTATAGCCTTGTTGCTTATCTATTTTATATATAGTAATTTGTATTTGTTAATCCCATATCCCTAATTTGTCCCTCCCTGCTTCCTCCCCGCTTTGGTCACCACAGTTTGTTTTCTATATCTGTGAGTCTGTTTCTATTTTGTATATATATTCATTTTATTAGTTTTTAGATTCCACATGTAAGTGATATCATGTACTATTTCTCTTCTCTGTCTAACTTATTTCACTAAGCATAATATTCTCTAGGGCCATCCACATTGCTGCAAATAGCAGTATTTCATTCTTTTTTATGGCTGAGTAATATTGTATTTTATATATATATATATATATATATATATACACACATACACACATACACACACACACACACACACACACACACACACACACACACACACATACCACCTCTTATTTATCCAGTCATCTGTTGATGGGCACTTAGACTGCTTCCATGTCTTAGCTATTGTACATAGTGCTACTCTGAACATTGGGAAGCATGTATCTTTTCAAATTAGTGTTTTAATTTTTTCTGGATATATACCTAGGAGTGGGATTGCTGGATCATATGGTAGTTCTATTTTTAGTTTTTTAAGGAATCTCTTCCACAGTGGCAGCACCAATTTACATTCCACCAAGTGTACAAGTGTTCCCTTTTCTCCACATCCTCTCCAACATTTGTTGTTTGTAGACTTTTTGATGCCAGCCATTCTGACAGGTCTGAGGTGATACCTAATTGTGGTTTTGATTTGTATTTCTCTAATAATTAGCAATGTTGAGCATCTTTTCATGTGCCTGTTATCCATCCATATGTCTTCTTTGGAAAAAATGTCTATTCAAGTCTTCTGCAGATTTTCTGATTGGATTATTGTTTTTTTGATACTGAGTTGTATGAGCTGTTTACATATTTGGATATTAACCCCTTGTTGGTCATATCATTTGCAAATATTTTCTCCCATTCCTTAGGTTGTCTTTTCGTTCAGTCAGTAGTTTTCTTTGCCATGCAAAAGCTTTTAAGTTTAGTTGGGTCACATTTGTTTGTTTGTTGTTGGCTTTTTTGGATTGATGAATTAAATTTTATTTTGTTGGAGTAAAAAACTTTCCTTTGAGAGCATTTGTTTTTTGTTCAACATGTATTTGTCAAGTTTTCGTTTACTGTAAGATGTTGGAGTAGAAGGACTTGAGCTCAACTCCTTCCATGAAAACAACAAAATCACAACTAACTGCTGAACAACCACCAATAAAAAATGACTGGAACCTGCCAGAAAAGATGTTATACATCCAAAGGTAAAGAAGAAGCTACAATGAGACAGTAGGAGAGGCCCATTTGCAATAAAATCAAATCCTATACTTGCTGGGTGGGCAACGCACAAACTGGAAAATAATTATATTGCAGAGGTTCTCCCACAGGAGTAAGAGTTCTGAGCCCCACATCAGGCTCCCCAGCCTGGGTTTCTGGCATTGGAAGGAGGAGGAGAATCCTGAGCATTGGGCTTTGAAGGCAAGTGGGGCTTGATCACAGGAACTCCACAGGACTGGGGGAAACAGAAACTCCACGCTTGGAGTGTGCACACAAGGACTTGTGTGCACTGGGACCCAGAGAAAAAGCAGTGACTTCATAGGAGCCTGGGCCAGACCCACCTGCTGCTTTTGGAGGGTCTCCTGGGGAGGCGGGTGCAGCTATGGCTCACTGTGGGGACAAGGACACTGGTGGTGGAGGTACCAGGGAGTACTCATTGGCATGAGCTCTCCTGGGGGCCACGATTTTGACACCAAGACCTGGCCCCACCCAATAGCCTGTAGGCTCCAGTGCTGGGACACTTCAGGCCAAACAACCAATAGGGTGGGAAAAGAGCCACACCCTTCAGCAGACAGGCTGCCTAAAATCTTCCTGAGTCCACAGCCATCTCTAAATACACCCCTTGACACTGCCCTGCCCACCAGAGGGATAAGACCCAGCCCCACCCATAAGGGGACAGATACCAGAAGCAAGAAGAGCTATAACCTCCGAAATGGAAACCACAATCACAGAAAGTTAGACAAAATGAGGTGGCAGAGGAATATGTTCCAGGTAAAGGAACAAGATAAAACCCCAAATGAACAAGTAAGTGAAGTAGAAATAGGCAATCTACCTGAAAAATAATTCAGAGTAATAATAGTAAATGATCCAAGGTCTCAGAAAAAGAATGGAGTCATGGACCAAGAAAATACAAGAAATGTTTAACAAAGAGCTAGAACATATAAAGAACAAACAAACAGAGATGAACAATATAATAATTAAAATGAAAAAATACACTAAAAGGAATTAATAGCAGAATAAATGAGGAAGAAGAACGGATAAGTGAGCTGGAAGACAGAATGGTAGAAATGACTGCCATGAAACAGAATAAAGAAAACAGAATAAAAAGAAATGAGGACCGTTTAAGAGACCTCTGGGACAACATTAAACACACCAACATTCGCATTATAAGGGTTCCAGAAGGAGAAGAGAGAGGGAAAGGGCCTGAGAAAATATTCAAAGAGATAATAGCTGAAAACCTCCCTAACATGGGAAAGGAAACAGTCACTCAAGTCCCGGAAGTGCAGAGTCCCATACAGGATAAACCCAAGGAGGAACATGGTGAGACACATAGTAATCAAACTGACAAAAATTAAAGACAAAGAGAAAGGACTTCCCTGGTGGTGCAGTGGTTAAGAGTCTGCCTGCCAATGAAGGGGACATTGGTTCAGTCCCGGTCCAAGAAGATCCCACATGCCACGGAGCAACTAAGCCCATGCACCACAGCTACTGAGCTTGCACTCTAGAGCCCATGAGCCATAACTACTGAGCGTGAATGCCACAACTGTTGAAACTTGCACGCCTAGAGCCCATGCTCCTCAACAAGAGAAGCCACTGCAAGAAGAAGCCCACACACCACAACAAAGAGTAGCCTCTGCTCGCTGCAACTAGAGAAAGTCCACACACAGCAACAAAGACCCAATACAGCCAAAAAATAAATAAATAAATGAATAAAATTTTTAAATGCCAATCAAAATATTTTTAAAAAAAGACAAAGAGAAAATATTAAAAGCAACAAGGGAAAACCAACAAATAACATAAAAGGAAATCCCCATAACGTTATCAGCTGATTTTTCAGCAGAAACTCTGTAGGCCAGAAGGGAGTGGCACAATATATTTAAAGTGATGAAATGGAAAAACCTACAACCAAGAATACTCTACCCAGCAAGGCTCTTGTTCAGGTTCAACAGAGGAATCAAAAGCTTTAAAGACAAGCAAAAGCTAAGAGAATTCAGCACCACCAAACCAGCTTTACAACAAAAGCTAAAGGAACTTCTCAAGGCAGAAAAGGAAAGCCCACAACTAGAAACAAAAAAATTACAAACGTGAAAGCTCACCAGTAAAACATCTATACAGTAAATGAAGGAAATCATCCACACACAAATGATATCAAACCTAGCAATTGTGAGAAGAGGAGAGTACAAATGCAGAATATTAGAAATTCACTTGAAATTAAAAGACCAGCAACTTAAAATAATCTTGTATATATATAGACTGCTATATCAAAACCTCATGGTAGCTGCAAACTGAAAATCTACAATATATACACACCAACAAAAGAAAAAGGAATCCAAACACAATCTATTTGTTTTTGCTTTTATTTCTTTTGCCTTAGGAGACTGATCCAAGAAAAGATTGCTACAATGTATGTCAAAGAACGTTCCACCTATGCTCTCTTCTAGGAGTTTTATGGTTTCACATCTTAAATTTAGGACTTTAAACCATTTTGAGCTTATTTTTGTATATGGTGTGAGGAAATATTCTAATCTCATTGTTTCACATGTAACTGTCCAGTTTTCCCAGCATGACTTATTCAAGAAACTGTCTTTTCTCCACTGTATATTCTTGCCCCCTTTATCATAGATTAATTGACTGTAGTTGCATGGATATATTTATGGGCTCTCCATTCTGTTACAATGATCTGTGTGTCTGTTTTTATGCCAATATCATGCTGTTTTGATTGTTCTAGCTTTGTAGTATAGTCTGAAGCTGGGAGAGTTATGCCTCCAGCTTTGTTTTTTTTCCCCCCTCAGGATTGCTTTGACAATTTGGGTTCTTTTATGGGTTCCATATAAATTTTAGGATTACTTGTTCTAGTTCTGTGAAAAATGTCATGGGTATTTTGATTGGGATTGCATGAAATCTGTAGATGACTTTGGATAGTATGGCCATTTTAATAATATTAATACTTCCAATCCAAGAGTACAGGATATCTTTCCATTTCTTTGAATCATTTTCAATTTCCTTCATCTATGTTTTATAGTTTTCAGAGTATAGTTCTTCCATCTTCTTGGTTAAGTTTATTCGAAGGTTTCTTTTATATGATTTTAAATAG